TGCCCCCTGCTGGAGCTTCTGCGGGACGCGGGCAGGCTCTCCAGAGCGCAGGGAGCTAAACTCCCACCTTCTCCAGCTTAGAATCTAATAGGTGCCCATTGCTGGATTCCCCTGCAGACCTTCAGAGGGGAACTGGGCAAAAGCCGTTTTGCTTTTTACTCTCTGTTCAACCTACTGTATCTTCCTCCTCTCCGTCCTGTATCCTCCTCCACGAGGTATTTTGACTTAAGGCTTCGGGGGAACATGGTCCTTGCCTGACAGATCTTTCCCCTCTGTTCCTGTCAACTCCCTGCTTAATTTCCTCAGGCCGGACGGGAAGGGATGTGTACTTTCCCTGGTTGTCTGGAAGGGTTTTTGCCACATCCCCCTGCTTCCCACTCCAGTCTGGTGGTTTAGCCTGGAAGGAGGACAGGGTTCCAGAGGAGAAACGCATACGCCGTTACAAGACCATAACCCCTTCCCACTGGCCCCCAGGATGCCGGCTCTGATGTCTCTTCCTCCTGGAAGCTTTTGCTGCTTCCCACCCCACCTCGGTCTTGCTCTTCTCTGCTTTCCCAGTGGGTTGGGCCCCAGGGTGGGGACCCTGAGCACCACATGGTTAAGTGACTCCTTGCTTTTGTCCCCCCACCCCCCATTGCTGCACTGAGCTGCCCTGAGACAGGGAAGGATCTTGTTGTGTTTGTATGTATGTCTATAATGCCTGGAACTTGTGACCAAACAGGACTAGGATGGCGGCTCTAGGGGAAGGAAGGAAAGCTACAGGAACCAAGGGACTAATAGGTTCAGTGACAGTAACTGTAATTATCAGTGCAACATCAGATACAGTGAGAACAGTGATGATGCTGATAACCTCTATTGAGGATTTTGAGTTCCAGGCACTGTGCTAAGTGCTTTGTCTGCCTTGTTTTATTTTTCCAACCCTTTGAGGATGGTACAGTATGATTATTATTCCTGTTATACAGATGGCATAACTGAGGCCCAGAGAAGCTAAAATAACTTGCCAAGGTTATAGAGTGAATCTGGGAGCCAGAATTCAAAGTCAGTCCAACCCAAAATACTAGATGTCCTGTAGGTAATTGTAGAGAGGGTGAGGGACCAAAATGGATACTTGGCGGGCGGGGGTGGTGGTGGTGGGGAGCTGTCCAAGGCACCAGAAAAAGAAAACGGCAAGGTTGGGGTGCGGAGCTGATGAAGGAGGGAGGACAAGGAAGGGCAGGGAAGAGATGGGGGCTGAGCTGACTGAAGGGGGTGATCGAGGATGGACGGGGAAGAGGTGGTGGGCTAAGCTAACTGATGGAGAGAGACGGGCTGAGCTGACTGAAGGGGGAGAACAAGGGTGAGCGGGAAGAGGAAGGATTGCACAGGCTGCTCGGTCAGGCAGCATGGCGTGCTCACTGTGGATGTTCCACCTTCGCTGGGGCGGTTGTACCATCTGTTCTCTCACTGGATGTGCTCTCTTCCTCGTCTCCCATCCTGCTGTCCTGCTCATCCATGCGTGTTACAGTCCCTTTTTTAGGGCTCCTTTTAGGCAACGGCCCTGTGGATGTCTCTTACGCGCCCTCTCTGCGCCCCCTCTGCTCCCGACCCCCATGACACAGATGCTCCTGGCGGGCACATCTGAAATGTGGTGTGGCTGCCCCAGCATCTGTCGTCATTGTGTGGGCTCCTGCCTTCGTGAACGCTCTGCCTCTCCCTTTGCAGGGCACACAGCACCCCGTGGCCACGGTCAGCAGCCCTGAGTTGGAGAAGGCCTACCTGGCATACTGCACACCGGGCTCTGACGCCCAAGTGGCCACTCTGAAGTTCAAGGCCGGGAAGTATAAGTATGAGTTAGATTTCAAAGGTATTTTTCTGACCCCCTCCCTGCACCCCAGGAATCCTTGAGTGGCATAAATAATTAAGCACTTGACTACTAGCGCTCAGCTGCTAACTGAAAGGTTGGAAGTTGGAGTCCACTCAGAGAACCCTTGGAAGAAAGGCCTGGTGATCTACTTCCAAAAAGTCAGCCATTGGAAACTGTGTGGAACACAGTTCTACTCTGACCCACATGGGGTCGCCATGAGTTGGAGATTACTGGACGGCAGCTGTACTAGTATTGTCTTAAAGGGCAAAGTAGGGACAAGGACTCCTAGCACCCTGTCGGAGGAAGAGTAGGGAATGAATCTAACATACATTTAGCCAGTCTACATATGTGGGATGACTTTTAATTTCACCAGTGAAAGCTGTTTGAGATTCATCTCAGTGTTAGTCACCAGGCCAGTGAGAACCCATCTGAGTCTGCTAATTAGCAAAGCATTGATGGGGGGGGAGTAGCAGGGAGGTGAAGCAGAACAGGTTGTGGTAGACGTGCCTGGATTATGAGCTTCTGGGTAGAACACAGTGGACCCTCAGGAGGAGTGTTCTTGGTAAACACCTGGGCCGCCATGTAACCTAAGGATCCCCATATGCTTATGCTGAAGTACGGGGTAAATCACAGACCTTGTGACAGTGTTTAATACTCAAATGTATTTAAATGAAAAAAAAAATTGTCTTTTTAATGAAGGGCAGAAAGTAAAACTTGGCAGGATTTTCCTGGTGGGTATTTCTGATACTTCACCTTGAGGGGTGCTTGTCACCAATCTCAATCCTTAGAAGAAGAATGAGAATCTTGGGCAGGGGGCATTGTTGATTCAGAGGTGGAGTGGGTTCAAAAAAGGTGAGAAGCCCTGCTGTAGACATAAACTACAAAAAAATCCTAAGATTAAAATGATATCCACCCTAAATCCCACTAACTCAAGATGTGGTAATTGGCCTCAGGCTGGGCTGAATTTTATATCCAAGCTGGGAAAAATTGCTTAGCAAAAGAATAGTTTAAACAAGATCAGAAGGAACAATTTAAAAGCACTCATGTATAGTTGATACGTCAATTACTAATCATTCATCTATTCATTAAATCCAGTCTCCCAAGGGTACTTATTTTCTTTGTGAATATTTGAAGTGTGTAAAACTGCCTTATTTTTAACAGACTGATTCTGGGCTTTACACAATTTAGATTAACTTTCCATCCCATTTAATTTGTGTTTATAAAATATTTCTCCTGCGAGTATGTGTGTCTGTATGTGTATATGTGTTTTTAATTGGCTCTGTTTTTTTCCAGCCTTTGTTCAGAAAAACCTGCACTCTAGTACAGTCAGAAAGGTTTGCCGGAGACCCAAATACGTGTCCCCACAGGGCGTGAAGATGAAGAAAACCTGGTAGGTTGCGTCTGAGGAGCTTGCTCCTTTGTGTTCAGTCAGGGTGTGTTCTGCTGCAAGTAACAGGAAACTGACTTCGAATTGGCTAAACCAGTAAAGGGATTTATTGGTTTTGTAACTCAATGCGTAAGGGACATTGGTGGTTCGGTGGTAGAATTCTCGCCTTCCATACGGGAGACCTGGATTTGATTCCCAGCCAGTGCACCTCATGCACAGCTCCCACCCATCTATCAGTGGAGGCTTATATGTTGCTGTGACTCTGAACACATTTCAGTGGGGCTTCCAGACTTAAGATGGACAAGGAAGAAAAGCCTGTTGATCTACTTCTGAAAATCAGCCAGTGAAAACCCTTTGGATCACAAGGGTTCCATCCACAGCTGATCATGGGGATGATGCAGGACTGGACAGCGTTTTAGCCCATTGTACAGGGTTTGCCGTGAGTCATGACTGACTCAGTGGCACCTAAGAACAACAGCAGCAACTCAGTGCTTGGTGCTCTGTGTCTCAGCCTTTTCTCTGCTCAGCCCTTCTCTGTGTGTATTTGGGGTTTCCTGCACTCAGTCCCAAAGTGCTGTGCTGGCTTTTTTTTTTTTTTAAAAACTGTGTCATTTTCCTAAGGAAGTTATTAGTGGGAATTCTTTGAGGCTCAGGATGAAGGCTCACACCAGCAGAAACAGAACATAGATCTGTTGTTGTAGGAAGCACAGCATTCTGAAACAGAATACGAATGAATTGGAATTATAGTTTCACTGTCTCTGTTCCTAAACCCTTTGGGCCAGATGTCTTCTAGAACTCTGTTTTTATTTGTTTACTTTTATTTTTGGAAAGATAATGTGGTGCTTGTATTATGTAACACTCTAATTGAACACATCAGTATATCTGTCATAAAAAAATATGCACAGAGACATTAAGAAGGATAAATACAGACCACAAATAGCCTCTTACCAGTTCAAGTCAGCTGTCTACTGCCACATGAGTTTTGATGTCAGTTTTATGTTTTTAACAAATACGTTCTGTGTCAGTTACACATCTGTGAAGCTGTTTTCGTTTTAAGTTTTCAGATTGCTCTGAATTTCAGAATTGTAGGTAAGGGTTTGTGGAGCTGTGTGCTGTTTTAATTATGCAGAGGTAAGGGTCTGTGGAGCTGTGTGTGCTGTTTTAATCATGTAGGTAAGGGTTTGTGGAGCTGTGTGCTGTTTTAATCTACATAGGTAAGTGTCTGTGGAGCTGTGTGTTGTTTTAATCATGCGTAGGTAAGGGTTTGTGAAGCTGTGTGTGCAGTTTTAATCATATGCTGTGTCCCTTCTGAGCAAAGCTTGGGTTCGGTGAGAATTGGGTCTCTCCTGCCTAATTGTTTTGAGATTTTGACAGCACAGGTGAAGATAAAAGTGCTGTCGTGTGGTGGATATTGTGTATGATGCCCTTCTTCACCTTCTACTAGCTTGTAAGTGGTACGCTGAGACTCGAGACTGGTGAAGTCGGCTGGTGGAGACGCTTGGCACAGACTCACTGAAACCTAAGAACGAGATGTCTGAGTGCTTTTTGTTGACATTTTGCAGCCATGTCCAGTTTCAAGGCCCGAAGAGCGTCCCAAACCATTGGGACCCTTCTGCCCTGCCGGAGCTGGGATTTATGGTAAGGAACGGAGTCCCTGGGTGTCACACACAGTTAACACGCTTGGCTTGCTTTCTAACAGAAAGGTTGGAAGTTCAAGTCCATCCAGAGGTACCTCGGAAGAAAGGCGTGGTAATCTACTTCTGAAAAATCAGCCATTGAAAATCCTGTGGAGAGCAGTTCTACTCTGACACACATGGGGTTGCTGTGAGTCAGGGCCGACCCAACAGTAACTGGTTAGTTAGTTGGTTAGTTAGTTGGTTAGTTAGTTGGGCTTGGCAGGAGAGTTCTGGGTAGAAACAGGTGGCTGTAAGATTGCAGCTGCTTCCTCGGCGTGAAGAAGCTCGAAGGCTGTGGCTCAGGGAGGAGGGAGGGGTGTGGGGGTCGGTTTGTCTTCAGGTCTTGGAGTGTTAAGGCTGGAGGTGGCCCTGTAGGGAGAGGATGCATTGAGGGGGGAGCAGAGCGAGCGGTGACATTTGTTAGAAAGGGCAGAAATAAGGATGTAAGAGCTGGACTCAGCAAACAGATACTGGTTTACTCAGCAAGGAAGGGGAAGGAACCGCTGAATGGGACATTCGGGGGACGACTGTTAGAAGGAAGTAGGTAGTAGCGACTGGAAGACCTGTGTACTGCCTGCAGGTGACTCAAATGCCCAGTGCTGCCTGTGTACCCATCATGGGGTACTTGGCTGACGGCTGGCCTCCTGCCCAGTGTGTGCAACAGGCTTTTACAAGGTGACCCTCCTTGTCCTTGGAGGATTGACCTCGCAGAGCTTGTACAAAGCGCACAGGGTGCCAGCAGTGCCAGGCTGCTGTGCGAGGGGTTTCAGACAGCACTTTGGGACGGGGCAGCGTGCCTAGGGCGGTGTGCGGTCTGCCTCTGAACAATCTAGCTGAGCTTCCAGTAGGGGAGGGGAGGACACGGAGGAGGTGGGAACCATGTGGGGAGGTGCAGGCCAGGCGGTGGGGCCTCTGCAGGCTGTCCTTTCACAAGCAGCTTGGGAAGGCGCTGTCGACGTTCGGCACTGTGACTGTCACACGTTACACATTTGCCCCTTCAGAGGATTGCCCTCAGCCCTTCCTCGGAGGAGTACCAGCAGGTCTACAAGCTCTTCAGCCGCACGCTGTCCTCCTACTTGATCCAGAAGATCGAGCGCGTGCAGAACCTGGCCCTCTGGGAAGTCTACCAGTGGTGCGTGGGGCTGCTGCTCCCTGGGCTGGTGGCTTGTCCCTACCCTGGGCCTCAGGGCAGTGGGAGAGAGGGCTCCTGTGTGCCGGAGCCCTCCCACCACCTCCCCTGCTCCCTCCCTGTCTGTGTCCGCAGACCCACTGTGTGCCAGAGCCCAGCCACCTCCTCCCTGCTCCCTCCCTCCCTGTCCGTGTCCCACACAGCCCCTGTACATATGGGGGTTGAGGCTCACCAGAGCCTGAGTAGCTCTCTGTTCGAAGTTCACTGATGACAAAGCCAGACCTCTCTGGAGACCAGTGGGTGGGTCGGCACGGCCCCCCTGCACCCTCGGCCCCAGGGAACCACGGCTGTCGTCCAACCCGCAGAGAGCAGCCCTCACCTCTGTCTGAGGACTGGTGGTTCTGGGGCACCAGCCACTTGTTCATGTGGGGAGGACATCACAGTGGCCGTCCTGCAGGCGGGGGCCTGGCTTGTCCCCACAGTGGAATCAGGCAGTGGTAGAGGGGGAGACTGTGCTCCCACTGCTCAGCCGCCTCATACGCCCCACTTCCCTGGGACAAGCCCGCTCAGAGGCAGGGGCTGGAGGGGACTCGGGCCCATTGTCCAGACTGGTCTGTTTTGGGGGTTGCCGGAGCCCAGGGTCCCTGACCGTGGATGCAAAGGTTTCCCTCCTGTTCCCTGCCGTTTCTGTCTCTGACCGTCGGGCATGAGGCCAGCTCCCTGTCCTGTGTTCCCCGCACCCCCGCCCCGTGCTCCCCATGCCCGCTGCACTCCTTCCCCTCCACCACCCGCCCCGTGCGTGCTCCCCACACCCTCTTGCTGTGGCGGCCGTATCTTCCGGGGCTGCAGGGCTGCAGTGGTGGGAGATGCCCCCTCCCTCCAGCGCCCCCTTCTCTCGGGCTGCAGGCAGAAGGGTCAGATGCAGAAGAGGCGCGGGGGCGAGGCGGTGGACGAGAGGCAGCTCTTCCACGGCACCAGTGACTGCTTCGTGGACGCCATCTGCCAGCAGAACTTCGACTGGCGCATCTGCGGGCTCCACGGCACCTCCTACGGGAAGGGTGAGGCCCCGTGGGACCACCGCTGTCGGGCAGTGTCCTGCACATGGTGATGGGGGCCTGCCGGAGCCACTGCCTCAGACTCAAAGAAGGTCCCCTAGGGGCGGCACCCTGGCTCTCACCCCTCTCCGACCCCAGCCCCCCAGCCCGGGCCTGAGGGGTGGCCCTGCTGGGCAGGGTCTGGGCCTCCTGAGAGAGGAGGGGTCGGGAGGGGCGGGACCCTTCTGTCGCCCAGCCACACTGTCCCTCCGCTGTCAGTCAAAACCTGAAAGCCTCAGACACTCATTCTCAACATAAGGAGAGTTAGCAGAGGGATTTCCTGCCCTTGGGTGATTTTAAAACTTTATTTGGAATAATTTCAAACTCGCAGAAGAGTTGCAAGAATAATAGGAAACCTCCCTGCGTAGATTTTACCCAGATTGGCCAGTTTTAACCTGTTGCCTCATCTGCTTTGTCCTCCCGTTTCTGTGTTCTCCTGAACCACGTGGAAGAAGGTGGGCTTCTCAGCCGCTTCACGCTGTAGCGCTTCCTGTGTGTTACATAACCCCATCCTGGTACCAAATTTAGGAGATGGAGTAATGATATGTTTAATCTGCAGTCCCCACTGCAACTTTGTTATCCACCAGGTAGACCACCCCCCCCCGCCATGGTGGTAGCTGTAGGTCAGGATGGACAGGAGCCAGCCGTGGCCTTATAAATCCACACTGTAGGGGCAGCGTCCCGCTCAGAGCCCCAATGGGCAAGGTTCATAAGTGGAACTCCTTGCACTGGGCACCAGATTAGTGATTCCAGATATGGTGGCGTGTTCACTTTCCACAGAGTCCCTGTTTAGTGCAGACAGTTAACACGCTTGGCTGCTAACCAAAAGGTCTTAGAGGCTGGAGCCCACTCAGGTGCCTCAGAAGAAAGGCATGGTGATCTACTGAAAAATCAGCCACTGAAAACTCTGTACAGTTCTACTGTGACACACAAGGGATCGCCCTGAGTTGGAATCAACTTGGTGGCAACTGGTTTTCACTTTTCACCCGTCTCGTGAGGTTGGCTGTATAAGGCCCCATTTCACAGCTGAGGAAACCAAAGTCTGGGCCTTGGCAGTGATGCGCCTGTAGGTCTGTGGTGTTGGGTACAGTTTCTGTCTCAGGGCTGGGGGCCCCACTGATGCCCTGCCGCACAAGCAGTCCCTGATGTTGACCTGCATCCCTGCAGGTTTTAAGAGGGATACATGAAGTAGGCGACGGGGAAGGGCTGGCAGGAAGGGAGGTGATGGCTCTGTGGGGTGGAGCCCCCATGTTGGCCTAAGCCCCGTGTTCTTCCAGGGAGCTACTTCGCCCTCGACGCCGCCTACTCCCACCACTACAGCGAGGCCAGCGCGGAGACCCACAGGATGTTCCTGGCCCGGGTGCTGGTGGGGGAGTTCGTCCGCGGCTGCAGCACCTACGTTCGCCCACCAGCCAAGGAGGGCCAGCGCGACGTCTTCTACGACAGCTGCGTGAACAGTGTGTCGAGCCCGACTGTCTTTGTGATCTTCGAGAAGCACCAGGTCTACCCCGAGTACCTCATCCAGTACACGAGCGGCGCCCAGCCTGCGGCCGCCACCCCTCTACCCCCGGCCTCCGACGTGGGCCGGCCGCGCAACGGCCTCTTCGGGTGGCTCAGCCGGCGCTGAGGCGGGCTGCCGGACGCAGGGGGTGGGGGATGTGTTGTGTGTTTTGTTTTTTTTACAAAAAAGCTTTTAATGAACTGTTTCTTCAATGCTGACTTCTCGATGAAGCCACATTCTTAATCCCTTGATGATACTTTTCACTTTTAAGTGTCCCCCAGTTGGGTTCTAGAGCAGCCTCGAAGTAGGCCTGTGGTTGCCTTTTAACAGTGTGTTTTAAAATTTTTATGTTTTACTCTCGTTGCTGACTTTGCTGCTCATTGACACTGGCTACAGTTTTCTGGAAATGGTTTTAACTTTTAGGATTTTCTGTCTCTACTGTGATTCTGGCTCTCCATGGCATCTACTTTGGTTTTTGTAGGACAGCACATTTGCCACTGGACCCTGAGAACCTGGTGAGGCTGGGGTGGCACAGCCTGGCTGCCCACTGCTCAGGCTAACCTGGCTTTTTCTCCTGGGCTTCCGGCCTTAGAACTGGCCTGTGTCATGTTGTCTGAACAAGTGGCTGCTGTGTGGGGTCCTTGAGGCCTGCAGGTGTCCTTTGTCCTGCTGGGGCCAGCTATCACTTCCAGGAAGCGTGCTCACCTGGCAGGTGACGCGTATGAGTGGTGACCCTGAGGACCCCTACTGGGTTTGGGTGTGCACCCCCACATCT